CTTTTAGTCACTTTATTACTTGACGACCGCGTATACTTGCGTGAGTGTGTTTGGCGGCAACAATTATTGGCAAGTTCTACCGGCCGGGACAACATATGGCATTCGGTAGAAGTCGAGAGGGAGACGCTCCTCCTCCTTTTATGAGGATCTGCGGAGGGGGCTGAATAGTTATGCCCCAAATTCCCATGAATCGGGGACTAAGGAAGAAGGACATCCTCCTCTAAGACGCCTATGACCGGTGGAGATGATGTAGCAGTTACTGGCAGCGAAGGCAAAGTTAGCGAAGAAGGAGATGAAGCTGATAACATTGTAGGTTGAGAAATTATTGCGGCCAAAGCAGTTCTAGCTATTGGTTGCTCATCAGCCGAAGACGGAAGAGACCTGGTACCCAGCCTCACAGTACCAGGAGTAGCGACTGGGAATCGAAAGCGAGAGTTGGCATCTCCCACTATATCACACTCCCCCAGAGCGCCTGGACGTCGCCATCGGTTGGTGTAACTAGTTAAACATATTGAGCATTTTGTTGATCAGATGAATGTCGTTGTCTTCTATGTAGAGAAGCCCTTCATCACTGGCTCTTCCATCATCATCGATCACCACAGTGTCTGTGGCTGGCTCGGGCGCGGCGCTCTTCGTCTTTTTATTTTTACCCTTGGCCGCAGAGGAACGTCGCATTTTTTGTTGCTTGTTCTCCGACTGGGGACTCCGAGAGGAAGCACTTGCACCGGAAGAAGGTCCGATGACACCTATTCTGGTGAAATCCTCCTGGAGAAACCTCGTCGCATCAGCGGGATTAGCCAAAACGTCCTCCTCGGAGACTATAACAGAGCCTTGCGAAAGACCTGAATTCAATAATAAGAAAAGTTAGCCAATTTTCCAATACGTAAGGTAAAAACAAGATAAGTTCAGCTTACCATGATTTCTAGCCTTTCACCCGTATTTAAGGGCCAGTTCTTTTCACCGGCGGGTCTCAGGCATAGTGACGTCCAAATTCTTCTGGACCCACTGGTCCAAAACTTAAACCCTTGGTGGTGTCCACTGAATTGCTGAAATAAGGAAAAAAGAAGGGTCAGTGATAGCATAGGATAACCTTTAAGTAAAAGAAAGGACAAACGTTGAACATACGTGTACGATTCCATAACTCAGGAAAGGATGGAGTTGTGGCCGGGATGATGTCCCTGGTGGAAACTACAATGTACACTCGATCCATCCACGGTCGTTATCATCATCCACGCTGGTAAACAAAGCATGGTGACCATATTTGCTGAAGTTTATCATTCCCCCACGAAAACACTTGGGGGAATTAAGGTTCATCAGTCGAGCCAGGGAGAGCTCTTCCCTCGTCTCCTAGCATAAGTGCCAAGCAGACCTTGTAACGGAAACAAAACTCCAAGATTACGGAGTCAAGTCCCCCGCTCAATGAAAACGGGCCTAAAGTGAAAGGGTACGTGTAAACATATATAAAACCCTTCTTGGGAAAGGTTACCCGATCTGCTATATCAGAAGTGATAATGTCCAAATCATGGCAACTACATTCTTCCTTCACAGTAGGGATGCTAGAAGGACGTATTGAAGAAGGATATCCACCAACAACCCATGTGCGTGAGTTAGCAGAAGGGAACTTCTATTCGAAGTCATTAGCCGTAGTAAGCTTTCTTGGGATAATGGTGTTCACAGTAGGGGGAGCAGCATCATCAGTGTTTTCTTTGTTCTTTGGAGAGCTAGAGTTTTTGGAATAGGAGGCTATAGTTAATAGAGGAAAGTAAGGGCTTTTACGAAGGAGGTTAAAGGAAGTTAAAAGCAAAAGTGAGTTGAGTAAAGAGAGTTTGAGAGAGTTCGAAAAATTGTGAAGCGTAAAAAAAGAAAATTGAAGCGTATAAGTAAAGGAATAGGCGGCTAAAATCGTGGCCATGATTACCTCGAGAACCGGCGAAAGTATAGCTGAATCGTAGGATGATGCGTGTTCGGGGCATTAAATGCGGGGAAACGCGCGTCTAATCAAGCGCCAGAAACTTTTCAGAGAAGGTCATTAAATTTTCCGCCAAAAAAAGTATCTTCACCAACTTCTCGGTGGCACATACCTCGTCCGTTATAGAGAACATGACATTCATAGTGTGCCGTTATATATTCTTCAATAGCCTCATAATTGTCATTTAAGAGTGGTTTAATCCTAGGAACTTGTTCCTTAGCTGCAACTATAAATATTGAGCTCAGCAGTTATTGTAAGGGGGAGAATTTCTGAAAAACTAATGACATACACTATCAAAAAGCTCAATAATATTTATTTCTTGCTTATTAATATTGCTATTACTTCCTTCGGAAGCTACGCTCCCGCAACCAGGCTGTTCAAACCACGTATAAATGTTTACATGTAAACAATTACACTTATCATTAGTTGTAAAGATACGGAGAGAGTATCTTGCTACTTGGACGTACTTTCAAGATTGGGAATTATGGATGATGGGGATTCATGCTTTTATCGCCTACGTTTCTATCTTGTTAACCTCTGCCATATTATTCATAGTCTGTATTCAAGATTTTATTGTTCCGAATTGCAATTGATTTCGCAGAATCTTCAAGACACTCTGTCACTATCGTTCAAAATGGCCCTGAATTTCTTAAAACAATACTATCAAAACCTTACTCAATTTCTATAAATCTCTCCAAGTTTAAACATAAAGGAAAAGAAGATTATTTGTTCCTTATCAGATAAAGAAGTTGATATCGATAGCAATGGAAGAAACAAAACTGGATACCAGTAGCATTTAACTTGCATTAAACAAAAGAATGAATACCTACACATTTAGATTTTCCTCACATTTCATCATAAAGCATCTAGAAAATATAAAGAAAACAGAGAAAAAGATATCTATACCATTTTTATTACTGAGTCAATACTATCAAAGCATCAAAACAGAGCACTTCCAATTCCCAAGTCCACAAAACAGGGTAATTAATAACTAGTCCAATATCTCATGCAATTTTAACCTCGATAGTTTTGGGTTTCTTAGGCTCAGGTGGAGGCAACTTCTGAACAATCACAGTCAAAACCCCATCTTGACAAACAGCAGAAATTGCATCAGTATTCGCATTCTCCGGCAACGTAAATTTCCTCATGAATTTCCCAATCCTTCTCTCCATTCTATGACCGACCATCGGCTGACGCACATTTAATGCCTTGGTAACTGGACCGACGAGATATTTGTCACATACATCACAACAAGGTTCGACGCAGACGTCAGTATGTATCTAGTCAGAGGTTGAAAAATCACATCGCTCCTCGTCACTTTCTTTTCGAGAAACGAGGGGACTATCTGTATACGGTCAAAACCGAATTTGCCCTTCATGTAATTAATCATGATTGGAACATGATGGACCGAGAGTCGTCATTATAATATCGAGATGTGATGTGAAACCGGGTAATCGAGCTCAAGATTTAGGGGCCGATTAATACCGAGCTTGAGTCAATATCGAGCTATGATGTAAAGTTGTATTATCGAGCTCAAGATTCAGAGACCGATCAATACCGAGCTCGAGTCAATATCGAGCTCGAGATACAGAGACCGACCAATACCGAGACCAACCAAGATCAAGCCAAGAGACAAAGAGCCGTTATAGCCACACTAGGGAAGAAAATCTCAGCGAGAATCAAGGAAAAGCTAAATAAAATCTATCATGAGATCTCCACTATGTATTTTTAATTATATCCAAAGTAGGATTTCTCAACTATATTAGGAGTGGTTATCATTAGAAATTATTGAGATTTAATAAATTTTATTCTTTTTTGGGTCGTGGACATTGATTCATCTTGTTAATTTATCAATCATTCTTTAATCAAATTGAGTTTGTATTTATTCTTTTTTTATAGTTAATATTCGATATATTTCTACCTATTTTTTCAATTTGTACCAAATTATATCACATATCCTTAGAACTATATGATTTATCCTTAGAACTATGTATAAATTCGATTTTGTAGAATATTGAAGATGCTTTGTCGCTAATGCTCAACAAAGACCTGAGTTTCTTAAATCAATTTACTTTCAAAACCTTGTTATACAAATTTCTCCAACTGTCATCATAAAGGAAAAGAAGATTATTTGATCCTTGTTCAGATAAAAAGAAATTGCACGCACGCTATATATTGAAAATATTGATAGCAATCGATGAAACAATACTGGATATTAGTAGAAGCATTTCACTTGCAGTATACAAGAGATAGCATACCCAAACATTTTGTTCCTTCATACTCCATAAAGCATCTAGAAAATATAAAGAAAACAGAGGAAGAGATAACCACTCCTAGATCTATACCATTTTTATTACTGAGTCATACTATCAAGCATCAAAACAGAGCACTTCCAATTCCCGTGTCCACAAAACAGAGTAATTAATAACTAGTCCAATATCTCATGCAATTTTAACCTCGATAGTTTTGGGTTTCTTAGGCTCAGGTGGAGGCAACTTCTGAACAATCACAGTCAAAACCCCATCTCGACAAACAGCAGAAATTGCATCAGTATTCGCATTCTCCGGCAACGTAAATTTCCTCATGAATTTCCCAATCCTTCTCTCCATTCTAATATACTTAGCCCCTTCTTTCTCTTCTTCCCTCTTCCTTTCTCCACTGATCAGCAGCACATTGTCATCTTCCACCTGCACTTTAATATCTCCAGATTTCAACCCCGGCATGTCCACGATGAACACATAGGAATTTTGGTACTCTTTCACGTCGGCTGGTGTTGCAGCCATTGCCTTAGCGTCACGTACATAGTTCCTTGACGGGGCGTTAATGGACTTGTCGGAATCTTCACCGGCGGCGTCCATGAAGTGCTGGAGAGTGTGGAGAAGTGGTGTGTCGATACCCATTAGCCTGAAATCCATCTTCCTCCTCTTTGATTAACTGAGTGCTAAGGGAAGATGTGATGATTATATAGTGTAAACATAGAAGCTTCTGAAGGAAATGGAAGCAGAAGGTGACATATTTCTAGGAGCTTCGGTTCCTTATATTGTCCACATGTTCTACACTTGTCTAGAACTTTATCGATTCTTCGCACGCAAGATATGGTCCCCCATTTTCCTTCTTTTCTTTTGAGGTCTAATGTATGGTCCCCTATAATTGTATGTTAGTAGATATTTAGCAAATATGTTTCCACCTTTTTACAGATTCCTCACAAAAAAGAAACATATCTTTGACCATACTTTTATTACATCAGTTAGTATCATTTGAGTTCCTTCTTTTCTATATCTTTGTATAGGTAAAGAAAGATTTTTATAATCTTCATATTAGAATGTCTTTATAAGAATAACCTAAAAGTAGAATATTCTGACTCCAATGAACGATATGAAAGGTTCCTTCTTTTCTATATCTGACTAGTTAAATGAGAATTTCGTTTGACCCATGAAATGCATAAACAGCTGTGGATGAAATAGAAAATCAAATCGAAGTACTAATAATACTACACTGATGAGAACAGACTTAATGATTTAGGGGGCGTTTGGTAGAATGTATAAGAATAGTACGGAATATGATACATTATTAATATTGTAATTAGAAATGTTGATTTTTTACATGCATTGCATAATTTTTAATAAAAAATTATTTATAATAATACCCTCTGACTATTTGAAAAAGGATTTAAAAGAGTAATTTTTTCCTTTATATATGTTTATCCATGTATTATAATTATAATATTGCTAATGCTATAATTTACTATTGATAAGAATATTACTGAATAAGGTGAATAATTAATACAAGTATTAGTTATACAAAGTTGAAAATAACGAAACAAAGAATTTTTATTACCAAAACTAATACATGTATTATTTTTTCTAATATATCATACCAAACAACCCTTTACAATCCTCGGCTTTTTGTGCACCATACTTTTCTTTCTACCGACCAAGATAGTTGTGAGCTAATTTTCTGGCCAAACTAACCGCTCCACTTTTTTGAGGTTTAAAGTCCTTTGCCTTGATTGACACAACAAACATTTCACTCTAATTATTATGATCAATTTTGAATACAAACAATAACTATGTCTCAATTTTGAACTGACCTCAGAAACAAAAGAATAAATGGCCGAAGCCCCTTTCTTTGGCCAAAATCAAAAAAGAAAGAAAGGGAAAAGAGTTACTGCGTAAAACCAAATCAGAAGCAAAAAGGGATTTTGACGGGTCAAGGGTTAAGGCAAAAATAAAAAATACAGAAAGTGAGTTGGGGGGAAAAGCTTGGTGCCGCAAAAAAAGCCACTTTCAGCCATTGTTTGTTCAAATCTTAAGGTACTGTATTCCACAAATTTGAGAATATATTTTAACGGTTAAAGTTAAATTAGGAGGTTGGCAAAAGTCAGTGAAACAAGGAAAGATATGTATAATTTTTGTTAATCTTTAGTAGTCTGTTGAGGAATCTTAAGCACTAATTATGTCTTACGGGTATTACTTGAGCTTCTTCTTCTGATAGATTTTAATTTCGATTCTCATGATTGGAAGATTCTGCAGAATAATAGAAATTACACTAGTTCATTCACGCAATTGAGAATTTTCTTCCTAAAGAATCAATAGAACTTTATGAAATTAGATTAATAAATTATATGAATATGTTGGAGTTGATAGATTAGTAATTACTCATATGTAGGTAAATATAATTCGACGAATTAATAGTCAAGTATGAAACCTCGAGGGTTGGCTATTCTAAATTAGTTATGAATTAGCCTAAACAAGGAAATTAACATGAGAACGATATTATGTAATTATAGAATGATTGGAGAAATTTGTACGAATTGCTCGAGGTGAAGCATTTGGTATTTCGGCACGAGTACTATGAGTAGTAATCTTACTGCAATTTGTATTTTCATAACTTGCATGATTTACACATAATTTTTAACATGAATATGTTACCTATTATTTTGATTTGCATGTGGGACAAGTCTTTTACTCGATATGATACCAAAATAGTTATTTGAGATGATTACCGTTGTTTTAAATATTTCCGTTAGTTTTGTTTTACCGTTACTTGAATATACTGTTATCAAAATGGAATTATATGATTTGATAAGAACCGCAATGCTCTATGTTGTTTTAAAATATTTTCTACGAGTATATACGTATTTCAGAGATAAGTATAAATGGGAGTAGACATTGAAGGAAACCATAGCTAACGGAGGGTTTGTTAGACCTGGTGCACCTTGTAATTACCGATTACCATTATAGCCCTCGCTAGTGGGAAGGTAGAACTAGCATACCATTATCGATTTCCCTCGAGTAGGGACTACCGTTATATTTGACTTCTTGCGAAGAAGTCCACAGTTATGCCGATTACATGATCCGTTCATTGAAACTTCCCAAACATGAATATTGATATTACACAGTATTTACCGAAATTATTACCGAATTGTCAATTAATTTATAATACATAAAAAATATGATGAGACTGATTATTGTTTATTATTTTTGAAATGGCATCTTTATGATATTTTCTGTTTAATATACTAGCATGTTTTCTAACTTGTCCCCAATAAAAACAGTTGTGGTTAAATGTTATTACTCATTGAGCTAGCGACTCATTCCACGCTAATTATTTTTACAGAGACAACAGTTGACGCAGGCGAGGATTTCGTTAATTAGAGTGCACAGGTTGATAGTTCTAGGTGAGCCTCGCACTTGTTCGCGTGGGCGAAGATTTTATTTATTGTTATTGCCTTTTCTTTGAACTCTTAGAGTCGCTCCATAGTCATTCTTTTTGTGTCTTGGATATTCTTTTGTTATTATAGACTTATGTTGAGTATCACTCATTCTTATTAAAGTTGGAGATAAAGTAGTATTTCTAGTTGTTAGTGGTGGACTATTAATGGTAGATATTTGTTTTGGTTAATTGATAAAGTCATTGTCGTTTGAATTGATATTAGGATGTTTGGTTGTTGATTTGAGACATGAAAATTTTTGGGATAGTCCAAATACAGGGGAAACTCTGTCTGATTTTTTATAAAATACTGATGAGGCTTACTTGGTAGCACTTGCTCCTAAGTGCCGGTCATGATCCTAAATTGGGTCGTGACAAAGTTGGTATCAGAGCTAGATTATTCTTGTGACTAATGGAGCACACGTCGGTAGTAGAATCTCAATTATGGTTATGTAGCCGGCCATTCCCATAATCGTAATTTTGCGAGGGCGTGATAGGATGTGTCTTGTCTTTCTTTTTTATTCCTCTGTACGTGTGTGGCGATTAGGGTAAAATAATTGAATCTATCATTACTTATCCTATTCATGTATGACTCGGACCAATTACCCTATAATGGAATTGGGCTAGAGGTTCAAACTTCAAAGACGTCAAATTTCGCCAATGGACATGCATCCATATCCAAGCAAAGAAAATGCTACATAAATAGAATACAATACCAGTGAAAGGTTCATTGTGCCATATGAGGTGATTTCCGGTAAGATGTGTAATAGAGTCCATTTCAGAAATTTATACTAGTCCACCACTACAACGATAAAGGAGTGCTATCACAAAAAGGTACTTACCTCCATAAAAAAAAAATTGAGATCTTTATGGATATAATAGATAAACATAAGAAGAATGACCAATGAAGTAGGGGCTCTAAAGTCCTCATGCACCTTGAAGATATGGGGAACAACAAAATATTCTTAATAAAATTCCTAAAGTTGAAACTACTAAGTTTACTATTTCTGATAATTCAAAGGATCATTAAAGGTTTTAATAACATACTTACCACGTTATGAGCTATAGGATATTTCATGAAGAGGTCTATGGAACATGCAACTTTTGGACTAGAGAACATGGCGAATACATGAAATGCTACGGTACTCTTAGAGATGCCAACAAGAGCAACACAACTAATTTGGGAATAATTTCACTAAAATATTTATGAATCACTTCCTTCTTGATAGTTTGTGACATGAACTTGCCTGCTAGATCATTTAAGAAATTGATTTAGACGTTGGGTATACTTACATATAACACAAAACTTTTTCAGCTGGTTACGCAAGCAACATCTTAAGTTTAGAGACTTGTTAAAAGGTTGGTTAATTGTTTAAACAAGATAGTAACTGCATATATGAAGACTTAAACCTATTCTGTAGCAGTTACACTTACCAGAAAGATTGAAAATATGGACATGATAGGCGTGCAAGAACTCACATAAGAAGATCAAGATTAGAATATCTTTTAGTATGGATTTTAATATGAGTCGAAGATTTATAAATCAAGAATGTTTTGAGATATTAAGCGAACCTTTTCGGGTTTCCGCATCTGTGAAAAATTTATAGTAGTTAGACATGTGTTTAAAACTTTTAAGATTCAAGTTAAGAAAAATAAACCCTAGCTAACCAAGTTGTACTTGATATGGTTGACTCTAACGTACAGATGGATATGGATTAATTATCTTCTTACCATGCTACCCTAGATTACTGTGGAAAGACTATTAGGTTTGGTGAACTTTAAAAGTTAGTTTTGTCTAAAAAGGGGATTATAGGTTTTAGAGACGAGAAAATTATATATTTTGAAGACTTAACGATTATAGAAGAAATGTTGTTTGGATCACATAGATACGGTAAGGGGCACAAGAGAAAAAATACTTAGTTTGAGGGAAAAAAAGTATCATAATGAGAGATTCTCTAAAGTATTCCTAAGGATTTACTAGGACTACCTCCAATATGAGAAATAGACTTCGGTATTGAGCTGACACCTGGCACCCATACTATATCATATGGCACCAACAGAGTTGAGAAAGCTAATTGAATAATTGAGACACCTACTGGATACAGATTTTATCATACCGAGTATTGCACCATGGGGTACACCAATATTATTTGAAAAAAAAGGGATGAGTCTTCAAGAATGTGGGCCAAATATAGATAATTAAATAAGATAGCAATATACAACAAATATTTCTTGTCTTGTATAGATAACTTATTTGATCAGTTACAAGGAGCCATTGATTTTTAGTTTGGTTATCATCAGCTTAGAATAATAAAGGAAGATATTTCGATGTTGCCTCTAGTACTCGGTACAAACATTATGAGTTATCTGTGATGTCCTTTAGATTGGCCAATACTCCAATTGCATTGATGTATATAATGAATATGGTGTTCAAAGAAAAAAAAACATCATAGTTTTTACTTACTATATTATGGTATATTCTCGTACCCGAGAAGAACACGAGAATTACTTGAAAAATATGTCAAAGACACTGTAGAAAAATCAACCTTTTTTCCCAAGTTCTTCAATTAGCTGGACTCGATGGTAATCATAGGACACATGGTATTTAAGAATGAAAAATGGTAGATTCTAAGAAGATAGAAACAATTCATAAATGGCTGAGACCCATTTCTCCTACAGAGGTTACTTTTGGCTTGACAGGCTACTATAGGCAATTGTGTAGGATTTCTCTAGAATAGCACCACCACTCACCAAGTTAACATAGAAAATCGCTAAATTTCAGTGGATGGAAAAATGTACAACGAGAAAGCATGTTTGACAATTACACTAATGTTAGCCTTATTCCAATAGGCTCTAGAGGATTCACGATGTTATGTGATACTTCGAGGGTAGGATTAGGATATTTTATCATGCAAAATAGTCGCGTGATAGCCTATGCTCTAAGGAAATTGAAGAAGCTCAAGTCGTATTATGCCATTCATAATTTGGAGATGGTCATAGTGGTATTTCCTTTTAAGATTTAGAGACACTATTTATACGAAGAAGCCTATGAGATTTATACATAGCACAAGAGCCTGAAGTATATTTAAAACTAACAGAGATATAAATATTTAGCAATGCTGATGGAGGGAACTACTGAAGATATAATTGTACTATTTTATATTGTTCAGGAAAGATAAATATTATAGCTTATACAAAAAAAAAAAATCTATGGGTGATTTGGCGCATATAGCTCCTGTAGAGATACTTCTGGACGAAGATATGCATAGACTAGAGGGTACACGTATTAGATTCAATGTGGAACAAATAAAATAAAATTCAAAGACATTATTGGCTATTGGTCAAGCCCGATGTAGAGTGTATAAAGGATAACCAATACGAGAATGAGCGATTATTTAATTACCGAGATTAGTTTCTAGCTGGTAAAAGCAAAGATATGCCTGTTAATAGTGAGGGTATTCTCCGAATAGGTAATTAATTATGTGTAGCAAACGTATATGGGTTGAGACAAGCTATTTGTGATGGAGCTCACAACTCTAGATACACTGTATATCTCAGGTCTATAAGATGCACCATGACTATAAAAAATATTGATTGGTTGGGAAAAAAAGAAAGAAAGAAAAAATTCGTTAACTTTGTTTCTAGCTATTTGACATATCAGTAATTACTCACACAATTAGAGGTATGATTATATATAGGAGAGTTGTAAATTGGCTTACAAAGTAGGCACGTTTCTTGCTAGTTAAAACCTCTTATAGTGAGGTAAAATATGCATAGATATACATGAACATAAAATTATCTGACTCAATAGAGCTCTATTGTCCGTCCTCAAATTCAACTAAAGGTAGATAAGCGTCCCAACTACCTCCAAACTCAAGAATACAATCTCTTAACATATTCTCCAAGATCTATATAGCATATTCGAACTTTGCGTTTGCGTGCGATAAAACTAATACTAAGATCTACTCGTGTACCCAACATTTCTTGAAAAGGTTTTTAAATTGTGAAGTGAATGTGATCCTCTATTAGATAAATTCGGAGACCGAATTTCATAATGTGGGGAGAATGTAATACTCATTACAAAAAAAAGGGTAATTAAGTAATTTAACCAAAATAAAATATATAAAAAATACAATACAAGATGAAATAGGGGTAAAGCCCTATGCTAACAGAAACAAAAGAATAAAGGGCTGAAGCCCCTTTCTTTGGCCAAAATCAAAAAAGAAAGAAAGGGAAAAGAGTTGCTGCGTAAAACTAAACCAGAAGCAAAAAGGGATTTTGATGGGTCAAGGGTTAAGGCAAAAATAAAAAATATAGAAGGTGAGTTGGGGAAAAAGCATGGTGCCGCAAAAGAAGTCACTTCCGGTCATTGTTTGTTCAAATCTTAAGGTACTGTATTCCACAAATTTGAGAATATATTTTAATGGTTAGAGTTAAATAAGGAGATTGGCAAAAGTCAGTGAAACAAGGAAAGATATGTATACTTTTTGTTAATCTTTAGCAATTTGTGAGGAATCTTAAGCACTAATTGTATCTTATAGGTATTACTTGAGCTTCTTCTTCTGCTGGATTTTAATTTTGATTCTCATGATTGGAAAATTCTACAGAGTAATAGAAATTACACTAGTTCATTCACGTAATTGAGAATTTTTTTCCTAAAGAATCAATAGAATTTTATGAAATTGGATTAATAAATTCTATGAATAGGTTGGAGTTGATAGATTAGTAATTATTCATATGTGGGTAAATATAATGCGGTGAATTAAGAGTCAAGTATGAAACCTCGAGGGTTGGGTATTCTAAATTAGCTATGAACTAGTCTAAACAAGAAAATTAATATGAGAACGATATTATGTAATTATAGATTGATTGGAGGAATTTGTACGAATTGCTCGAGGTGAAGCATTTGGTATTTCGGCACGAGTAATGTGAGTAGTAATCTTACTGCAATTTGTGTTTTCATAACTTGCATGATTTACACATGATTTTTAATATGAATATGTTACCGATTATTTTGAGTTGCATGTGGGACAAGTCTTTTACTCGATATGATACTGAAATAGTTATTTGAGATGATTACCGTTGTTTTAAATATTTTCGTTAGTTCTGTTTTACCGTTACTTGAATTTACTGTTATCGAAATGGAATTATATGATTTGATAAGAACCGAAATGCCCTATGTTATTTTAAAATATTTTTTACGAGTATATATATATTTCATAGACAAGTATAAATGGGAGTAGACATTGAAGGATCTCGTAGCTAACGGCGGATTTGTTAGACCTGGTGCACCTTCTAATTACCGATTATCGTTATAGCCCTCACTAGTGGGAAGGTAAAACTAGCATACCATTATCGATTTTCCTCGAGTATGGACTACCGTTATATTTGACTTCTTGCGAAGAAATTCACAGTTATACCGATTACATGATCCGTTCATTGAAACCTCCCACACATGAATATTGATATTATACAGTATTTACCGAGCTTATTACCGAAATGTCAATTGATTTTATATTACATGAAAAATATGATGAGACTGATGATTGTTTATTATTTCTGAAATTGCATTTTTATGATATTTTCTGTTTAATATACTAGCATGTTTTCTGACTTGTCCCCAATAAAAACGGTTGTGGTTAAGTGTTATTACTCATTGAGCTAGCGACTCATTCCCCGTTAATTATTTTTACAGAGACAATAGTTGACGCGGGTGAGGATTTCGTTAATTAGAGCGCACATGTTGATAGTTCTTGGTGAGCCTCGCACTTGTTCGCGTGGGCGAAGATTTTATTTACTGTTATGGCCTTTTCTTTGAACTCTTAGAGTCGCTCCATAGTCATTCTTTTTGTGTCATGGGTATTCTTTTGTTATTATAGACTTATGTTGAGTATCACTCATTCTTATCAAAGTTGGAGATAAAGTAGTATTTCTAATTGTTAGTGGGTGGACTATTAATGGTAGATATTTATTTTGGTTAATTGATAAAGTCATTGTCGTTTGAATTGATATTAGGATATTTGGTTGTTGATTTGAGACATGGAAATTTTTGGGATAGTCCAAATAGAGGGAAAACTCTGTCCGATTTTCTGTAAAATACTGATGACGCATACTTGGGGGCACTTGCTCCTAAGTGCTAGTCATGATCCTAAATTGGATCGTGACATCATATTATACTCATATTGTACAACAACAATAACAATGGACAACAATGATAATGATGATCTCTGCATTTTTCTACAGGCATGTAAAAATTTCAAATGTAAAAGATATCTCTCCTAAAAACATAGGACCTAAATAAAGCAAATTCATTAATTACATTACTAAAATTTAATTCCAACCAATTGGTATAGCTAATACTCAATCCGTCTCAAATTATCTGTCGTGTTTTTCTTTTACACGCCCCTTAAGAAAATATTTATCCTTATTTATGTCTTAGATATAATATTTCTTCATTTAATACTTACTCATAATTAAGATATTTGTCGTCTACCAGAATAATTAATATTAAGAGTAGAATAGAAAAAGAATAATTAATTTACACTTGAACTTCTAAAATGACAAATAATTTAAAATAATTATTTTTAAAAATTACAATAAATAATTTAAGACAATTCCTAATTTTCACCATGTCTATGAGGATTTAAAGAGATTGTATATCTCTTGAGACAACGTTGATCTATCTTTTTCCCGTTTATCATGTTCGCTCACCATAACTGCACCCTATACATCTGTATAGATAAAGGGTGATGCAAGACACGATTAAATCATTGACATTGACATTCTATATTCTCTCATTTTATCTAAACGCTTGCTGTACCTTTTGTCGAGTGTGATCGTTGTTGCTCTGTGAATAGTCTGTTTAATTATAAATCTATGCATTAGAAAAGAAACACAGAGTTTGAACAGTAGAAGTACTAACAATCTTCTCGTTTAATCCTGAATCTACGCATTAGAACAAAAAGGAAGACAAAAAAATGTGATTGAATCTTGAGAACCAACAGCAGGAGCTTAATTAATTGGCTACATATATTCAGGCACAAAAACTTGGGACTAAGTTTGGATTTGGTCACGATCTATTCACGGACTGAACAAGGCCAAATATGCAATACTCATTACCAATATGGACGACGAGGATTCATGCGTTTATCGCATATATTTCTTCTATCTTGTTAAAATCTACGATATTCATAAGGTGTGCTCTCGGGATAATTCAAGATTGATTTTGCCAAATCTTGAAAAAAAATCTGTCACACGTTCGATAAAGGCCTGAATTCAGATATGGAAAAGCACTCGATACATTGATGCCAATCGAAGAAACAAAACTGGATACTAGAACACCTACACATTTAGTTCTTCCTCACATTTCATCATAATCCATAAAACATTGAAAATATAAAGACACAGGAAAAGATCAAAACAGAGCACTTCCCATTCCCGTGACCACAAAACAGAGTGACAAAATAACTACTTCAATATCTTATGCAATTTTAACCTCGATAGTTTTGGGTTTCTTAGGCTCAGGGGGAGGCAACTTCTGGATAGTGACAGTCAAAACCCCATCTTGACAAACAGCAGAAATGGCATCAATATTCGCATTCTCCGGCAGAGTAAACTTCCTCATGAATTTCCCAACCCTTCTCTCCATTCTGATATACTTTGTCCCTTCTTTCTCTTCTTCTCTCTTCCTTTCTCCGCTTATCAGCAGCACATTATCATCTTCCACCTGCACTTTGATATCTCCAGATTTCAACCCCGGCATGTCCACAACGAAAACGTAGGAATTTGTGTATTCCTTCACGTCCGCTGGTGTTGCAGCCATGGCTTTAGCATCACGTACATAGTTCCTCGATGGGGCGTTGACGGGCTTGTCGGAATCTTCACCGGCGGCGTTCATAAGGTGCTGGAGAGTGTGGAAGAGTGGTGCGTCAATACCCATTAGCCTGAAATCCATCTTCCTCTTCTTGATTTGACTTGGTTTCAATGATCTTGAGGTATCTTTGGATGTGGGAGTTTTTTGCTTTTGTGAGTTTTAGCTTTGGATTGCGGAAGATGCTGCGGGAAGATGTGATGATTATATAGCGTAAACATAGAAGCTTCTGGAAAGAAATGGAAGTAGAAGGTGACATATTTCTAGGAGCTTCGCCTTCAATTATGTTCCTTACATTGTCCATGTTCTACAAGAACACTTGTCTAGAACTTTGTCGATTCTTCCCATATAAGATATGGTCCCCTATTTTCCTTTTTTCTTTTGGGGTCTAAGGTGTGGTCCCCTACACAGTTTTGGCATGTTGTATGACCACGTAATTATTCGGTGAGCATGTAATTAAGTGTAATTAAGGGAGTGTAATTACACACATTAGTTTTTGAATCTCTTTTCTTTTCTTTTTAATTTACTTTTTAATTACATTCTTTATTTTTTATTTCCTTATTTCTCATTTTCCAACCTTTACTTCACGTGTTTATACATAATTTCTCATATTTTATTTTTTTCTTAATTATTTTTCTTTATTTTTTTAATTACACTTAGCTATATTATTATTCTAATTTTTTTAAAAACTTATACTCCATAATCTTAGAAAGAATAAGTCATCCACAAACTTAACTATAATAAGTGATGTCATTAAAGTTGAACTTTGTCATTGGATGAGGTTATATGCAAACTTAATTATGTTAAAATGATAGATTACTTTTTAATATTTAAATAATATTTTTATTTTTCAACCTTTATTTTTTGTGACTCCGTATAATTGCTCATTTTTTTCATTATCTTTACTTAACATAATTGTGCTATTATTGTACTTTTAAAACTACTCCTCCTAATATTAGAAATTATAAAGACCTGGCCGGTCGTTATGAATACTTTAACCCCGATCCCCTAAATTATATCTCCTCAATGCTATATCGTGGTGTTGTTACTTACCGGGGTGTTTGATTTTTGGATTCGGAGTGAAATGTGATACATAGTTCCTAAGTTAAAGGCTTAAGTTGAAAAGGTTGACCGGATGTTGACTTATATGTACACGACCCTGAAATAGAGTTTTGATAATTTTAATAGCTCTGTATGGTGAATTTGGACTTAGGAGTGTGTACAAAAAATTATTTGGAAGTCCGTAGTTAAATTATACTTGAAATGGCGAAAATAAGAAATTTAAGTTAGAAGTTTGACCGGGCAACTTTTTGATATCGGGGTTGGAATCTGATTTTGAAAATTTGAATAGGTCTGTTATGTCATTTATGACTTGTGTGCAAAATTTGAGGTCAATCGGATTTGATTTGATAGATTTCGGCATGGTATGTAGAAGTTGGAATTTCTTAGTTTCATTAGCCTTCAAGTGAGGTATGATTCTTATTTTTAGCATTGTTTGATGTGATTTGAGGCTTCGACTAAGTTCGTGTGATGTTTTAAGACTTGTTGGTGTATTGGTTGAGGTCCTCGGGTGAGTTTCGGATGGTTAACAAATTAAATTTTGGACTCTGAACCCAGTTGGAATTTTTCTGATGCACTGTCTGGTTTCCTTCTATGCGATCACGTAGGCTTAGCTGGGTAGAGTAGAATTTTTCTCTACGCGATCGCGAGAATGGGGTTGCAATCGCCTAGCTTGGACGCCAGTGCATCGCGAACGCGTGAGGCATGTCGCGTTCGCGTAGAGTATAAGAGTCAGAAGCTGGGCCACACGTTTTGTTCTTCACGATCACGTAGGTTTGTGGAGACTGTGCTTTGTGATCGCGTTGGAGTTTTCCTGATCGCGTAGGGTTATTTTGGCAGCGAAAAATTTTGTGCTTCGCGATCGCGTAGAAGAAATGACTGGGTAGAGAGTTTAAGTTGTGAAAATGAGACTTCGTCAGATTTTTTATTTTTACCGATTTGGAGCTTGATGAGAGGTGATTTTCGGGAAACTTTCAAAGAAAACAACGGGATAAGTATCCTTAAATCAATTTTGGTCAAATTACCTGAATCTATTGCTAGTTTTAGCATTTAAAAATTTGAGGGTCGGGTTGATGTTGGAATTTAGTAATTTTGGTATGGTTGGACTCGTGGTTGAATGTGCGTTCATATTTTATAACTTTTATCGTGTTCCGAGATATGGGCCCCACAGGCGATTTTTGAGTTAAATTTCGGATTTTTGCTGGAAAATTAGTATTTTCATATGGAATTAATTTCAATAATTTGTATTGACTAAATAAAATTAATTGCGACTAGATACGAGGTTTTCAGAGGCCAATTCGCGAGGCAAAGGTATAGCGGAGTAAAGAATTACATGGTTCAAAGTAAGTGACTTGTCTGACCTTGTGTGAGGGAAATTCCCCTTAGGATTGGTATTATTATGAAAATTCTGATGTGTAAAAAGCTGTGTACGTGAGGTGACGAGTGTGTACAAGGGCTAAATGTGAAAAATTCTTGTTTCAAATTGTGTAGATCTCTGTCACATAATTAAATTATTTTATCTTGTTCTACTCATCATCATTGGTCTGTTTTTATATCTTAAATTTGCCTTACCTTTTCCTTCTAATTGTTTTAGTTGTTTAGTTGAAGCTTTGTTTCTTTTATTCTACGCTCATTATTTGAAAGTTGGATTTTTTAATTGAATTATTATTAATATGAAGTATTTGACATTTAAAATTTGGTATTGAGGCAAAGTGTTAAATGTCTGAAATATTATTTTTGGTTGAGTTATTCACTCTCGAATATTTTGTTGAGATATTTTTTGTATACATTGTGATTGAACCGTGAGCTCATTATTGTGAAAAGTAATGTTGTTATTGATTTATTTGGTAAGTTGAAATAATTGAGAACTTGAGGTGTGAATTATGATATATTATGATATTGATACGTATGCGATGGTATAAAGTCTGGAGTTGAAACGCATGCGGTGAGATAAGGGAGGCTTGATACGCGTGTCTAGTAGGGGAACTACTAGAAACCATGCGGTGTGATAAGGGTGGCTAAAACGCGGGATGCTATTTCGGAAAAAAATAATTTCTTTAAAACTAAATGTGAAGGAAAAGAAATATTGTGAATTTATTTATGATTTGGGACTACGAGGCGGTACCTCGGGAGTCCCTTGTTGATATTTTTTTTCTCATTGGTGTACTTGTCTTGATTGTTTGGTTTTCCCTAAATATGTAAATTCATGTTTTCTTTCGTGATGTATTATTTGCCCTTACTCTATGTAGTTAAATTGTGACATACTCCTTATTCGATTCAGTTTCATTATTATTATTATTATTATTATTATTATATTGTTAAATTGTTCGCCTTGTCTTTTATTAGTTTCGATAGGGCCCTGACTTGACCTCATCACTACTTTACCGAGGTTAGGCTTGACACTTATTGGGTACTGCTGTGGTATACTCATACTATACTTCTGTACATCGTTTGGTGTAGATCCAGGTACTTCCTACTAGACCAAGTATCAGTGAGATAGTCTGTATGCAGAGACTTCTAGGTATCAGTGAGATACTTCCTATCCAGGTTTTGGGAGTTGCAATTATTTCAATCGCATTTTTTTTTATATATCATGTGTTGAGATTGAAGTTCAGTTTTATATTCAATTATTCCGCAAATTGTTAAGCTTACCTAGTCTTAGAGATTATGTGCCATCACAACATCCTACTGAGGGAAATTAGGGTCGTGACAAGTTGGTATAAAAGCTCTAGGTTCGTAGGTGTTATGGATCACAAGCAGGTTTAGTAGAGTCTCACGGATCAATACGAAGACGTTTTTACTTATCTTCGGGAGGCTATGAAACTGTTAGAAAAAATGTTCACTTCTTTGATTCCTTATCATGCGCATTTTTGACTTCAAAGTTCTAAATCATTGTCTTTTTATTTTCTCACAGATGGTGAGGACACGGACAACTGGATCTGATTATCAGACACCCACACCCATTATTGGAGTCACAAGAGTCCGGGGCAGAGGCCAAGCCAGAGGCCGAGAAAGACCACGTGGTGCATCCAGAGAACTTGCACGAATTGCTGCAGAGGAGCCACCAGTAGCTCTAGTTGGAGAGCATGCACCTGAGACGCTTGTTACTATCCCTGCACTTCAGGAGACCCTTGCCCAGTGTTTGAGTATTTTTGGCACTCTAGCTCAGGCATGGTTGATTCCACTTGCTCCTGCCACATCTCAGGCCGGGGGAGTAGAAAACACTCCTGCTGCCCATACCCTAGAGCCACGGGTCCAGGTTGACCATGCCCCAGAGGTTATACCAGTACAACCAGTTGTCCCAGTTTGGCCAGAGGTTAGGGTAGCCGTTTCTGAGGGGGAGCGGCTCAGACTTGAGAGGTACAAGAAGTACCACCCTCCCACTTTTAGCGGTTTGGCTTCAGAGGATGCTCAGGGTTTTCTTGAGGAATGTCACTATATCCTCCATGCTATAAGTATTGAGGATTCTAGTGGGGTTACTTTTACTATATTCTAGCTTAAGGGAGCGACGTATCAGTGGTGGCGAGCATATGAGTTGGGTAATCCAGCAGAGGCAGCGTCACTCACTTGGATTCAGTTCTCTGATATGTTCTTGGGAGAGTTTGTTACCCAGAGTCTTAGAGATGCATGGTGCGTAGAATTTAAGCAGTTGCGACAGGGCTCTATGACAGTATCAGAGTATGCAGTCCAGTCCAGTGATTTATCCAGGCATGCACCATCTTTTGTTGCTACTATTAGAGAGCGTGTCCGTCCATTTATTGAGGTGCTCTACCCTAGTATTAGATTCAGTATGGCCCGAGAGCTGAAGATGGATATCGCATACCAGCAAGTGGTGGAAATTGATATGAGATTGTAGGGTATATGGACCCAGGAGAGAGAAGAGAGGGAAGCTAAGAGGCCCGAGATTCTGGCACATATAACAGTTTTCGTGCCACAACTGCAGCCCGTCATGGTATAAGTTATGCGAGTCGTCCTATTCATTCAGCACTCTCAGCTTCCAGCGGTATTCCTGCTACTTCCAGATCTCAGGTTGTCTATTATGCACCGCCAGTATCTACTGTACCTCATGTACAGGGTGCTTTCAGCGGTCACTCCAACCAATCAGGCTCGAGCCACTCTCAGCAGCCAC